TTGGTAGCTGAAGCTGGCCCCACACTCACTATATTGTCCAGATTGACCTCAAGTCTCTCAGCTTGTAGAGTGCTAGGTTTATAGTCATGTGCCACCATACCCAGCTCTGTAAGTAGATGTTTACTAGCTCATAACTAGCAGTATTGCAGTGAAAATTATTTTAGTTTATGCAAATAATGAAAGTAAGACTGCTAAATGATGGGTTTGCTGATTGGTGTGAGAATATTCGTTAATTCATTTAACAAAAATTTGCTTAATGCTTACTATGTATACTGCACTCTGCTGGGCTCAGGGTAGACTGGTGAATTCAGCAGGTTAAAAATCTAATGTTCGTAAATCAGGCTGATTTCCTTTGCTGTCTAGCTGAGGTACCAGCTGAAAAATGTAAGACAAACCTATGTCATATTTATAAACCAAAAAAGAAAACTCTCCCTTAGAAGGATTATGCTTTGTACCATTGGACAGTAACTTCCTTTCCCCAGATCTGGATAAATGAGCGTGTCTCGGTGTTCAGTATGTGTGTGCATGTGTGCACACGCATGTGTAGTATTACTTGTGCCCCTATCTACCGGAGCCTTATATGGGTAAAGATGAAAATCTCAGATTTTTTAAGTTAAATGACTCCCAACTAGGAATGTATATAACTAGAGTCTTAACTTGTACTTGGGGCAGATTCAGCACACCAGTGTCAATGTGTTTACTGAAATGAACTTCAGTCTTCTATTTTTGCCACGTTTTTACTAATTTATATTTCTATTTCAACAGAACTGAATCAAAAATTTTTATAGTGTCGTCAACTAGGCAAACATGGATAGGTAAAACAATGTCCTGCAACCCTACCTAACAATTCTGAAATGTGCTGGGTTTTATTGTCACTTGCTTTATGGGTATTAAATGAACCAGATGGTGTCTGAAAAGATTTCATAACACAGAGCTCACTTTTCAATGTACTATATTGAAAAGTCATTTTAAAGACTTAAAACGATGAGTAATGAAACAAAAGAGGTAAAAATAAGATGGTTCAAGAAGCCAATACAGTTTTGAAATCATAAAGGATAATAGAAAAAGAAAACAGAAAGGACTGAAATGGGAGCAATAAAAGCAAACAAAGACAGTTGTTTACCTATCATAAAGATTAAGTGAAAATGAACATAAAAATCCAGATGTTTCCCAAATGCAAGAACTTAAATTGAATTGTAACAATTAAAACAATTAACTGGTTTTATACCCAAAATTATAAAAATGAGAAGCTTTATAAAATAGAAATAGACAATGTGGTGAAAATTCACTGGGTAGGCTTAAGATCTTAGCCTCAGTTTAATCACTAGACACTTCTGTGACATTAGGCAAATCATTGAAATTCTGTGGTCACATCTACCTTAGTAGCAAAACAAAAACACTGATCAAACATCTTAATGCAGACAAGATCAAAGTTTTCTCTCTTAATACTACTAAACAATGATCACACTTAACAGATATTTAACATCAACAAAAGGTTACTTTCTTTAGACAAAAGCCAGGAAAAGTACAGCTCAAAGGAAAACAAAAGAAAACAAAAAAATTTTAGCCTTCCTAACCTCTATGTTCTGTACATGAACAACATGAAAAAGCTGTGGCTCTAAAAGGCATTGCAGCAATTGTCATGGATGCAATCTTGTCTTTCACCTTTCTTGTGTGTCCTTCTTGCACTGAGTCTGTGGGTTGAATTGGGACTTTCTTCTCTTTAAAGAGACAGCTGTAAAGAGATTCCGTGAAGTAGTCTAATGGCAGAATTCTGATTCCACTCTTGTTCTACGGGAAAAATAAGGTGCCCTTCCCCATGCAGCAGATGCAGGCAGATCTCTGGCTTCTATCTCCCCTGCAGTAAATATGTGGCTATCTTACCCTTAAGGGTTGCTGTTTCATGTCTCTTACTAACCAAGCACCAGGGGAATTTCTATTAGACTAAATCATACAGAATTTGGAATTATAGGACATGACATATTTTAAAACAGCTGTTTGAAAAATGTTCCAATGAAAAATTACAAAAACCCTTAAAACAAATAAAATAGGAAATATGAGGAAAAAAATTAAAAGACAGAGATGAGCCAAAAGGAAATGTTAGGGCAGACAACTACAAAAGCTAAACTTAAAAACTCCATAGAGCTGCTCAAAAACACAACAGTAATGTTAGAAGTATCTGTTAAAGTGAGGTGAGAACAGAGGAAAATACCTGATCTGAACAACACAGAGACAATGTATTGAAAACCACAAAGCCTGAGACTCAGGTCATGGTGACTCAACACCAAGAGAGCTCACAGTTGTCCCACCTGAGTCCAACCATCTAGAAGGAAAGGAAAAGAATGTGAGATTGAAAAAAATACTTGATGAGAGAATAGCTGAAATTCAGCCATCTGCCAAAATGCATTCAGACTAAAGAATCCAAACAACATAACCTATTTACAATAAATTCTCTGAAAACTAATAAATAAATAATAAAAATTTGTGGAAAGCAGGCAGAGAGAAAACCTCATTACCCTTGGGCACTAACAAGACACATCACAGCAGACTTCTCACCAGAAACCACAAAGGCCAGAAGCACACATTTAAAATGGTTTGGTGCAAGAACTGGTAATATGGAATCCTGCATCAGTGAATATATGCTCAGAATGAAGGTAAAATTAGATATCCTCAGATGAAAGAAAGCTAAGAGAATTGTTTGTTTTTGCTAGAATTCCTCTACATGTCTGGCTGTGATTAGAAGGGAAATTATAAACCTGGAATACCAGGAAAGCAGAAAAAGCAATGAAAAGGGTAAGTAAATGCATCAATACAATAGGCTATTTCTCTCCTCCTGAATTTTCAAAATTGCATTTGTATTTAAAAGCAAAATTATAGTGCTGTCTAATGTTGTTCTTGGTGTATGCAGAGACAACATTTAAGATAATTATATGAAGAAGGAGAGTAAAGAGCCTTGAATGTTTGTAATTTGTGTAGATTTCACTTGAAGTGGAAAATGTTGGCATTAGCAAATTCCAATAAGCTACATAAGCATATTGTAATCTTTATTCCAACCACTTGAATAACAATACAGAGATACACTCCAAAATACCCACAAAAGATGGGTAAAGGGAAACAGAAATGAAAACTGAGCAAAAGCCCAAAAACAATAAAATTATAGAACTCTATAAACACATTTAGTAGAAATTGCCTACATTTTCCAAAGGACAGAAAGGGAAGTAATTTAAAAAATGACCCAAGTATATGATCTCTAGAAGCATTCATTTTAAATCTGATGATATAAGCTGAATAGAGTAAAAGAATTAAAATATATAATTCAAATACTAATCAAAAGAGAGCTAGCATGGCTGTATTATATCCCTAACATCAGGTTGGGGCAAAGAAAATCACTAGCTATAAAAAGGGACCTTACATGGTAAAAGGGTCAATTCATTAAAAATAAGTGTCAGTCTTAAATATGCATTATGTACAAAACAGAGTTTCCAAACATGTGAAGGAAAAGCTACTAGAACTGAATGGAGAGAATGAACAAACTCACACTGGAGTTGGCTGTTGGAACATGTATTTGTCAGTAGTTGACAGAATCAGTAGGTAAGAAGTGAGCAAGTATATAGAAGAAATAAACAATGCTATTACCCAATGAGATTGAGTTGATATCTGTAGAAAATTCCTCCAGAAGAGAGTAGAATATATATTTTTTTAAAGAGCATGGTTCATTTATCAAGATATACTATATCTTGTGTCATCAAATCGACCTTGATATATTTAAAAGAATTGAAATCATATCGAGTATGTTCACTAGCCATAATGAAATCATGCTGGAAGCCTGGGCTTCATAGTAAGAGCTTGTCTGGAAAACAAACAAAAAAGAGAGAAGAGCCTGGCTCTGGTGGCTCACACCTGTAATCCTAGCCTCTCAGGAGACAGAGATCAGGAGGACTCTGGTTTGAAACCAGCCTGGGCCAACAGTTCCACGAGACCCTACTGGAATAAACCCTTCAAGAAAAAGGGCTGGTTGAGTGTCTCAAGGTGTAGGCCCTGAGTTCAAGCTACAGTACTTCAGGAAAAAGAAAAAGAAGAAAAGAGAGAAGGAGGAAGAGGAAATGGAGGAGGAGGAGAAAGTAAGGAAGAAAAGGAACTCACATTGGAAATACTGGGAATCATTAACATAAAGATAACAGGAAAATTCCCAAGTATTTGGAAATTGATCATACCATTTTTTAAATCAAGAACGCAGGTTTAGGGCTTTAGATTAAAAATTCTGTGATGAATTTTCTAATATGACCAGTGGGTGCTTTTGTTCTAGAGTATAGAAGGTTGTCCACCTGAACTCAAGTGCACAAACAGATGTTCAAAACACCTCAGGAATCTTGCAGAGAGAAGGGAACTACTATGGTTGGTACCAGCTTTAAGTGGTGCTCCTGTAGATCATTCACTATTAAATCTTCACAATCACCTGACACAGTGTGGTCTCCACTAATGGCAATGTTTAGTGGCAAGGAAGCCAGCTGAAGATTCTTGAGAACGTTTGGATATTTGAGAGCACTTCCAAGAAGCAGAGTCCTGGGAGTTAGGAAGCTCTAGAGGGAGAAGTTTATAGAGGTGGACAGCGGCTGAGGCAAGGAATGTGAGTTCCACTTGTAGACAGTGAGTGCACTGAGAAAATTTAAGAAGTCTGAGATTTTAAATCATTACTTAGTGTGAGTACACTGCAGGGGCAGGAGTCAGAAGGCTAGGGGGCTCAGTGTGGCTGGAGTCGGCCTTAACCAGCTGAGAAATTATAAGGATTTAGGTGGCATCGCCATCATTTTACATAGATGATGGAGTAGCCCAGAAGGAAAGTAAGCATTTTTAAGGATAATAGTATAAAACGAAGATAAGATGTTTCAACTAAGATAAATGTGTCAACAACACTTAAGAAGATAACATACAATTAAGTGAGCTAAGGAACATAACATACCCAATAAACTAATAGTAGACATTGAATTTATTTCCAGGACTAGAAGGGGCAGGTAGAATGGTGCCAGTTGACAGGTAAGTTTTAAAACAATTCAGAGTGGGTTTGGCAGTTGCCAGTATCAGCCTTAGAGCCACCCATCCTCCTGCCCAGGTTAACACTGCAGGTCAAGATTTACAGATACCTTTGCCTCCTCCTACCTTCTGAATCTCAAAGTGCAATTGCTCAACGTTCACGTGAAAAAGCTGCCTAGGGAGGGCAGGCGCCAGGGCCCTGGAGGGTTGTTTTGGGGGCGCCAGCCTTTGAGGAAGTCAACAACGAACAGAAAGACGACAGCAGCCAGCAGGAGCGTCCGGAGATGGAGCGTCGCCCAGAAGGCGGCCACCAGGGAGCCCACCGCCGCCAACATGGCTCTGAAGACCGCTGGCTCTTCTGTGGTCTGAACAGGGGACCATCCCTGTGGGTCAGCACCTAGTGCGCTTAGCTTTGCTCCTCCCTCCGCCCCGCCCTCTCCAAGTCCACGCCTCGCCCCTCCGCCCCGCCCCTCCCTGGCCCCGAAGCCAACCACACCACGCCCTCGCCACGCCCCTTTCCCTCCCCCAGGCCCCGCCTCCTCGCCGCGTCCGTCACTGCCTCTCAGCGCTCCTCCTCTGGCCCCGCCCCACCCCGGCCTTCTCCGCCCTGCCACGGTAGTCTGTCATCCTGTTCGCTGCAACTCCTGGCCCCTCGGCGGGGACCTCTCTGCAAGGCCCCTCCCAGAAGCTTCTCGCTGTCACCACTCTTCACAGAGCCCCTTCCCCACAGCCCTCCCCGCCTCTCCGCAACCCCTCCTCGGCATATTTCCCCAAGCTGTCACAGTGCTTCTTCCATCCACTCCTGGGCCACTCTTTGACCCTCTGCCTGCCTCTTCTCCCAGGAGTCTCCTTCCTAGTGTAGCTCTGTAGCTTTTGGTCACCTGCTGCTACAGAAAAGATGCCCAAAGCTGGATTTGCAGGGAAAAGGTCAGGCTAAAAGAGGCTATCAGTTTAAAAGTCCTTGTTTCTCCCACAGAGTTGGGACCTTGGGTTTAGATGCTCAAGCATCTTAGAAAGTGCCTCAGACATTTGAGTTCCTGATTTCCGGTCCCCTCTCACCTGCAGACTGCAGCCTTCCTGCGTCATGACTGGAGCTTTTCTGGAACTTTTACTGTATGCCCTGCAGCACACTCAGCTCTTTACGTGAGTAACTTCGCTTTCACAGTTTTGCAGGAGGTGATCTTGTTAGCACCATCTTGAGTTGAGAAAACAAAGGTTAAATATGAAGTACATGGTGGATAAGTGAATCCATGGGTCTGAAACAATCTAACCAAGTTCCTCTAATTGGAAGTGTTTTAAAGATTCCAAGGCATTACGTCAAAGCTCCTAGCCCAGAGTGTAGCCAATAAAATAGATGATTAGTTAATTTTTGTTACAGGAATGTCTTGGTCCTGGTCCTTTTGCTGTGGTCACCTGTGAATTGGAAAGTTTAATTACAATGTTTTCCCACAGAGGCCTTGTGATCTCTTCCTCCTGTGGTCACTGCTTATATTTACCTGATACATAATATTTTACCCCTAAAGGACTGGAGTTCTTGAAGAATCTTCCATTTTAGGTACACCTAACAAATACACCAAATCTTGATAAAAAGCAGCCAGAGTTTGAGTCATAATTCTAAAGCTCAGCAATGGTTTCTTCATTCTCTTTTCATTTATTTGATAGAATTGATAATTTTACTGACTTCACTTCAAATTTACTGAGTCTCCATCTGCCAGCTCAAATATACTGCTAGGCCCCTCTAGTAAATTTGAAATTTCAGTTATTATATTTTTCAACTCTAGAATTTCTAATTGTTTTCTTTTCAAAATAGTTTCTATCACCTTGTTATGGCTTTCCATTCAGTGAGAAATCATTCTTATCCTTACCTTCAATTCTTCAGACATGGTTTCTTTAGGTTCTTTGAACATACTTATTTAAGGTTCTGTTCCGTAAATCCGATGCCTGGGCTTCTGCTGGGACAGGTTATAGCAACTGCTTTCTCTTAGTCTAATGTATGGGTGACCTTTTCCTGTTTCATTGCATGGCTAATAATTTTTGTTGGTAACTTGATATTTTAAATGTTATGTTGAAATCATACACACCACACACACTCTCTAGAGCCTGTTCTTGCTACTGATGTATTTTTATTGCTTCCAATTCAGAAACTTACTTGGACTATTTGTGTAGCACTCCATTCTTGTTCATGTGAAGCCACTGGATTCTCTGTTCTACTAGCACAGTGTTTGACTGATTTTGGACAGTTTTCCTTACCTGCCTTGAACTGATAAGTCACTCAGCCAGGTACTTGAGTTTTACCTTCAACCCTACAGCAGCTTTCTCATGACTCATGATTTCCTGCTTACATAGAACCTCAGGGTCAACCATGGGGGAGAGGTGAGTACTTCCTCAGGACTTTTCCTGGGCATATACACAGCCTGTGCGCGTGCATGGCCGTTTTAAACCTAGTGGACATATCCTTTCCCAGTTTTCCTTTTTAATCCTCTAGTGAGCAACAACTAGAATTATCCCTTTGTGTTACCACAGCATCATACAATAACAACTGATTTCTGAAAAAGATCCTCTATAGGGATCTTGGGTAGGTCAAGTGCAAATCTTGAGAAAAGAGTGAGCCAAAGCACAGAAATTCTCTTGGACTGTAACCTCAGAAAAGCCATTTCCTCACATTCTTTTAGTCAAAAACACATCAATTGCTCAGTTCAGAGTGAACACAAGTGTAAATAGATTCTATCTTTTGTGGAGAATGTTTTTACTTTACAGTACTGCAGTTTCAATTCAGGGCCTCACACTTGCTAAGAAGGGGCTATACCTCCACCAGCCCAAAGAGGATTTGTGAAGTCACCTGGAAAGTGGAACAGATACAAGGAAGGGAAGCATTCTTAGGCTGCCTTAATTTCTGTTAAAAACACAACAGCATAGCAGAGCTTGGTGATCCCAGATACTTGGGAGGCTAGGACAGGAGGATTGCAAATTCTGGGACAGCCTTGGCAAATTAGCAAGACCATGTCTCAAAATGAGATGTTTACAAAAGGCTATGGATGTAAGGATGTATGGACATGTTCTCCTAGCATGTGCAAGACACTTGATTCAATTTACAGTAGCAAAAAGGAAAATAAAGCAAAAACTCAACAGATTGATGAGACTTTTGTTTCATCATATCATTATCTAGTACTGGAATAGACCTTCCACAATAAACTATCAGAAAACTGGACAAAGTAGCCTCACAGATACTTTCCAGATATTAGAAAGTGGAACTGCAGGACTGTGATTCTCTGAGAAAGGGACAAATGAAGTGAGCTCCACAATCATTGACTTTCAAGTTGGAGGCATTTAATATTCCATTTTAAGATGAGAAATGAATCACAACACACTAGTCTTGAAAGGATGAGAAAATATAGACTGGGATTTTTTTTTTTTTGTAACTGATATGATTGGAATTGGTGGGACAGAGAAGAGAGGAAGATATACCAAAAAAGAGTTCCATAATTCTTCATAGATAACAGCTAAATACTGAACCCTGTATGTGTACAGTAAGACTCCGTGAAAATTGGCAAATAACACCTGCAAAGGAAAAGGAGCTAGTAGAGGCCTAAAAACATAATGATGGCCATAGCTTTATCAGATAGAATTATATGAATGCTGATATAATTATATGAAAAGTGGAGAGACCACTTTGAAAATCTCGAGTGACCAGTAGAGACCCCAGAAAGGTCACCTTGGGGAGCCATAGAATGAAGGCTACTCTAGACCGTTCTAATGAACTTTAAAAGAAACCTTCAAAAAGATGCAGGTATTCCACAAATTTGCCACAACAGCCGGGTGTTGGTGGCTCACACCCATAATCTTAGCTATTCAGGAAGCAGAGATCAGAAAGATTGGGGTTTGAGGTCAGGGTAAATATTTTGAGAGACCCTACCTTGAAAATACCCAATATAAGAAAGAAGTGGCAGAGTGTCTCAAGTGGTAGAGTGCCTTCCTAGCAGGCATGAGGCCCTTAGTTCAAACCCCAGTACCAAAAAAATTTCTTTGCTAGAATAAAAATCAACAGTTTTTAAAGGAAGACAACATAATCAAAACACTAAATAATGAAAAGCATAGTCATTCCATAATTACTAGACATTTGAAGAAGTGGAAACATGTGACCTATAACAAGGAAAATAATGTTAGTAGAAACAGGCACATTAGTGAAATGATGTAATTATCACCTTGGGACTTTCATATGGTTAAAAATAGTCAAAGATTTAAAGGAATTCATGAAAATAATTAAGAGAAATGAAAGCTATAACATAAAGACCACATCCTAGGGTAAAAAAAAGTCATAAAAATTAGTTAATGGTTCAATGGGAAATTGTGATGTTATAACAGAGTACCTAGCTGTAACAGTGAATGAATTGGTGCCACATGCATCATTCAGGATAATAACATAACAGTCCCTTAGAAAAGAGTTGTAGAAAATTTCTTCTAACACTGAAAACATTGCAAGCATTGTATGGATGCATAATGACTATACTAAAACAAGAAATGTGGACTGGAAGGACACAAGCTAAGCTCTGAATCATCTTAGGTAATTTATGAAACTGAAGATCAATATGTTAAGCAAAATAAGTCAGACTCAGAGAGAAAAGTATTACATATTTCCTGTCATATGTGGAATATAGTGGTGGGGGAGGCATTGAAATAAATGAGGGATGAGTAAGAAAGAGGAAAAAGTTTAGGGGAGGTGGATAAGAGAGGTTAAGAGGGGAATGAATATGATCTAAGTATTTTATATACATCATGAAAATGTCCCAATGAAACCAATTATTTTATACAATGAGTATATAGTAAAAAAAGTATTTTAAAAAATAGAAGGAAGAAAAACAGAATTCAAGGCACAATGTACTGCATTGGTTTTCCAATAGAGGTAATGTGGAGAGAAGTCACCCTGGGGGACTTTGTCAACCTTATCCCTGAAGAATGTTATACAATGATAGAAGTGAGGAAAGATATTAGGGAGCTATCGGTACCACTGATACCAATTTTTTAGCATGTTTATAATCCCCATTCCCCATTCTATCAGTACTGGACTGTGAACTCTGAGATGCAAAGGTGTAGGGCCATCTAAGAGTTCACAGAATAGTGCTGACAGAATGGGGAAATGGACATTATAAACATGCTAATAAATTGATATCTGACTCATAGTATATAGTCAAGAAATACTTGTTGGATTGACTTGAAATTACTCTGAATTTGAGGCTCAGTTTCATAGTAAATCTCCATCAATTCTTTGCAAATAGAAGGAACAATGACTAAGGTTTGTTTTCTTCCACATTTAGAGAGACACTACCAGCATATATGGGTATTGGGAAAAAACAGTGCAATTTTACTAATAAGAAAAATGATAACTGAGCAGCCATATTGTAGGATGCTGTCATCTTCCCAAAGCCAATCAGAATGAGACAACAGAGCATCTTGCATTACAAGTATATCTGGAACTTGACTTTCAGAGTTTTAAGGATCCCTTAGATAGATGATCACATTTCTCATCCCCTGCTCTTGGTATCTGATCAGCCTGGCCTGCCTTCGATAAGAATTACATAAAGTTGGTTTAGTCAGAATGAATGTTTCATTTCAAATAACTTTCTATCCACTGATACCCACACCCTGCTCCTGCTACAAGAAAGCCACTTGTTTAAGCTGTTTTTGGTATTGAGCCCAGTGCTATTCTGAGGGTATCTTTCTATTGTTCCTAATTAAAATCTGGGTTTGTGGCTTCAATTCTGTTTGGATTTTTGACTTGAGGGTCCTCCTGAAGTCACACGCACCTCCTGTGAAGTGGAGCACAGACTAGTCTTTTCCATATCAGGTAAGAGGCTTAAGCCAAGAGCAATTTCCCAACACTTTGTAGTCTCCGAGGTGCCACACCAAGGCTTGAAACTACCAGCAGGCAAGAGCCTGTACGAGCCCAGTTGTGGTGGCTTGAGGAGGGAAGGTTCTCTAGGGTGAACATTGCATTGTACTTAATGCTTTGGACTGGGTGTGAGACTGTGATCCTGTGAGTGCAGCCAGTACAAGGCCATCTTGGATTCCTGTAAGGAGCTACCTGGACAGAAAATGTGACCTGAAGAGATCAACTAGCAGAGTCCAGGAGTGGGAGAGGGGCTTTAAAGAAAATGCACTGACAGGTCCAGGGCACTGTACTTGGAGGGCTCTAGTGTGATGGAGGTGGCTTGGAGGGTGATGTGTGGGTGGGTGGTCATGAAGCAAGGAGCACACAGTGTGTAGAGAAGAATTTACTGAACCGATGTTCGTCCTTCCTGGAAACCTCCCAACTGGGATGAGATAGAGTTGTTAATTGATTGAGTTACATATACTGTATACATATTAAATTTCAAATTTTAAAGTCCATGTAACTCTTAGGTATGAATGTAAGAAGAGGAATATTTGTTGCAAAAGAATTATGAAAAAATGGTGCGCCTGGCTTGGAATTTTATCTGGAGACAAGAAAAAAGTGGTCCACATAATGTTTGTGGATAGAAATACTTTTCTTCACTCCCTACTTAGTCCCATGTTATCCATGTGGCACACAGACAGGATGTTACATTTTAGAACCTTATGTTTTTAGATACATAGTGAGGTTTCTGCTTTCACACTCACATTGGGAAAGAAAACAGAAGTTTGCAGATTTAAGTGTTTTGCTGCAAGTCACAGGAGTAGTTAGAGGGGTGACCAACTCCTACCTGCTTCTTTGGGTGCCTTACACAGGTGCTAGCTTGGCAGCCTTGACTGAGTTCAAGGGGAGAATAGCTGACACCAGCAGTAGAGCTCTGGAGTTCCCTGATCTAACAGTTCAGGAAGTGATCCTTGCTACTTAATCACTTGGTCAACCCCTGCCTTGTGTAGATGAATACGTAGAGAACTGGAAGTGGTCTCTCTCCTGGACCTACCCTTGGTGCATCCAGTCCAGCTATGCCTACCCAGGCATATTTCCTTAATATTCAGA